CATGTCACATTCTCTGAACCTGTTTCCACCTTGTAAATTGTGGGTATTAGGCCCACGGTCTCCAAGGTCCCTTCTAAGCTTCCCTCAGGCATGTTGTGAAATATACACTAAATTAAATGCCCACGGCCAGGGGTGGTGGCTCACAACTGTAATCCCAGCACTTTCAGAGGATGAAGTAGGTGAATCACCTGAGATCAGGAGTTCAAGACCAACCTGGCCAACATGGTGAAACCCCATCTCTACTAAAAATACAAAAATTAGCTGGGCATGGTGGCGCCTGTAATCCCAGCTACACGGGAGGCTGAGGCAGGAGAATCTCTTGAATCTGGGAGGTGGAGGTTGTAGTGAGCTGAAATCATGCCACTGCACTCCAGCCTGGGTGACAGAATGAGACACCATCTCAGGTAAATAAATAAAATGCATAAATAAATAACAGGTTTGTGCCTGGCAGCCTTAGCTCAGGATCAGGGTAGAACTAAACATATCTGCTCACCAACCTGGAGGTCATAATATCACAAGGGCCCCGATGCTCCTGGAACTTTTCCAGATATCTAGAGTTCTTGTTCTCAGGGACAAGACGAGCATAAAGAAGAATGCCAACTCAGTGCAGGGATCACCTCCCTCCACTTCAAGGTACCCCTGCTCCAAGATCAAGGGTCAGGAAGGATGAAAACAATATCCACTGAGTACTTATTGCATGCCAGATGTTTTCATATATTATCTAGCTCACAACCCTAGATGGTAAGAGTAATCCTAACAGTAGTAGACCATAGTGTGTATTGAGTGCTTCCTATCTGCCAGGCACTGCTAAAACCAGCAAACCTTCAGGCAGCATCCATCATGCACCAGGCATTGTTCTAAGCATTTACAGTGCATGAGGTCGAGAATATGAATACCTATTTTTGGATGGGGAAACTGAAGCACTCAGCTGGGAAAGGAGAAAACCAGAATCAGACCCAGGCCCTCTGCCAACTTAACCACTTTACTTCACAGCCGCTAATTACCTTGAAACCCTGCTGCAAGGTATTACTTATTCTGTCTTGCAGATGAGGAAACTGAGGTTCAGGAAAGTAAAATAATTCAGCAAAGGCCTCACCTAGGCACGGTGGAGCAGTGTCTGCATAGACCACCTGTCAGCATCCCTCCAAGCAAGTCCTAACTGCTACAAACACAGGGCTTCATGCTCTAAGATTTCAGGGAGCTGGCACGGCCCAGAGAGGTTCTCTAGACAGCCACTATGCTCTGGCAGCTTCCTGCCAACAGCGGGCTCTGTCAGGGAAGGAACTTGGCCTTTTTCATGAGGCTGGGAACAGAGCTGATGCTAGCTAGATGAGATACAAATAGCCATGAAATGGCCGCAGATTCTAAAGAACAAATCAATGAATGCGGTAGGAAGGAAGGAAGAGAGAAAGGAAGCAAATTCTTGTTGGGTCTGAGGCAGCAGGGCCCTTCTCAAGGGTACAGCCAGGCCGGGGGCTAACAAGAAAGTGAGACCTGCAGTAAGCTGCCCCTTGTCCCCATTCAGGCTATGCTGGGGCCAGCAAGCCAAACTCCATCTGAACCCAGGACAAAGCAGGAGCTGAGCTGCCCGATCCGGGGAAGGCAGGCACATTGGTCCTCTCTGTGAAAAACTGGTCAGGCTAGTGGACAGGAAAACCCTGACCTCCCAGTGCCTAGGAAATTCAGTGGCAGGGGGCCTGGCCCCGGCCATAGCCTCATGAGAACCTGAGTGTCCAGTTAGATCCCGAGTCTTGAGCTGGATGTGTCAGTGGATCTAGCACAAGGTTTAGAATCACTTTACATGAAACACAGCGTCCTGACCCTCCTTTCCAACTGTGAGACTGTGGTGTATGCACTGAAGCCTAGGGGACTCCAAGAAAGGGGCACACAGCCTCTCTGTGCCAACAAATGCTGCTTTAACTAATTTCATCAAGTGGTAATTTCACATATCCAACCCTGGCCCATCTGTGCGCAGAGCACCGAACTTAAGCCATTGCAGTCATCATTGCAGTAATTCATTCAGCCACTCCATCTATTGCATTCCAGTCCTCAGAGATGCTACCGTAAGCAAGCCACCTGCCCCTAGAGGAACGTCTTATGGTCCAGCAGGCCCATACGGCCAGTAAACAGGAAATGGCACAACTGGGTGATAAATGCAGTGAGAAGGAAAAGAGAGAGTGCTATGAAAGCTTACAGAGAGGGCCCCTAACCAACATCAGGGACCCTATAGTCACCCTGGTGTTTTAAGCAGGCATCAAATGCCAAGTACAAATGAGCCATTAGGGGGAAAAAGAGCAGAGATATTATTCCTAATCTATAAGGGAGTAGAGTCTGATATTGGATGTTTTTTATTATGGTATTCTTTTTTCTTGGGATCTTAAAAATTATTAAATATTTTTAAAACATTTAAATAGCATAATATGAGAGATATCCATGTAATTACTACTCAGTCTTAGCAGTTTCAGATATTTTGTACGTAAGTACATAGATGGGTATTTTTTTGACACGGAATCTCACTCTGTCACCCAGGCTGGAGTGCAATAGCATGATCTTGGCTCACTGCAACCTTCACCTCCCAGGCTGAAGCAATTCTTCTGCCTCAGCCTCCTCAGTGAGTAGCTGGGATTACAAGTATATGCCACCATGCCTGGCTAATTTTTGTATTTTTAGTAGAGACGGGTTTTTACCATGTTGGCCAGGCTGGTTTCAAACTCCTGACCTCAGGTGATCTGCCTGCCTGGACCTCCCCCCGCAACCTCAACCCTTTCTTGCTCCTGCTCTGCCATGTGAGATGCCGGCTCCCCCTTGGCCTTCGCCACGACTGAAAGTGTTGTGAGGTCTCCCCTGAAGCCAGCAGATGCCAGTGCCATGCTTGTACAGCCTGCAGAACTGTGAGCCCATTAAACTTCTTTTCTTTATAAATGACCCAGTCTCAGGTATTTCTTTACAGCAATGCAAGAATGGCCTATTACTGTACTTTTTGTGAGTCAGTTTAAAAATGAGTGTAAGCTAATAAATAAATATGCATAGCTTCAACTAAATGATTTTTATGGACTGTAGCAGAGGACCTGGCTTGTGTTTTCTTAATGGTTTCATGTCTCATGCCAAGGCCATCATATGCAAAGAAACATCTGAAAAAGAGTTGATGTTTATTGCCAAGGAAATACTTAAACTGACTATAATGAAGATGTTAAAGAGCTTCAGAGAAGCTGTGGACTATTTCCCTGGGCTGACCACAGACACACCTTAAAGCAAGGGCCATCTGATCATTGGACTTAGGGTGATTTTTAAAACACTTTCTTTTTTTATCCAAGTTTTTATTCAATTCCCTTGACTTATTTCAGTTTAGAATTTGACTTCTTATTATCCTCATAGTAATCCTGAAAAAATTACTAAGAATAAAAAATATCGTAACTACTAACATAACTAAGTCCACAGGATATTAGAACTGAAAAGATATCATATAGCTACACCTCTTTATTTACAGGTGATGAAACTGAAGTCTGAGAGGTTAATTATTCACTCATCCCTCCAACAAATATTTATCGAATTTCTACTCTGATGTCATTTAGATCCTTACTATGGCAGTAAACATTTAGAAATTTAAACATGTTTAGTGTCTCTATCAATAGCTTTAAGAGTAAAATTTTAGATGTTACCAGCTTGCCCAAGGTTGCATAGCCATTAAATAGAGGAAACAAGGTTAAGACCCAGGGAGTCTGACTCCAGTAATACTTCCTGTCTTGCCATGGGATACACCTATGGTTCTTGAGTCCAAAATGCAGAAATATGAATCTTACAGGAGAATGAGGCCCTACCATTTACAGAATGTGATGTCTTCCTTTACAGATGGAATTTAGTTCTTCTGGTGAAGAGGACAATGGCTGGGTAGGAACTTAATGCCCACACCTAATGGAAACTTATCCTTGACCTGCATGACTGCTGGCCCAAGACAAAGATTACTTGGAGCAGCTCACCATAGAATCAGCTCCAAGATAAGGGGAAGTACTTGGACTCCATAGTGAACAAAACAGAGATGGTCCCTGCCCTCATGGGGCCCACAATTTAGTGGGGAAGACAGGCAATGTACAAGTGACTTCTCAAATGTTTTATGATTTGTCTTGAATTTTTAAACTTAAACCTTCTCCAGTTTTAAAATAGCATGGAAGCAAAAAACAAAATGGATTGGGGCAGATCACAAAATTGTAACTCTTCTCTAAGGACCAGTATGACAGCCTAGGAGTGAGACTTTGCATCTTTTCTGGAGGTCAGTTCTGACAGCATCCTTTGATTGAGGAGGGATTTGGAACCTTTGGCCTGTCATGCCCTTGATGGTTCTTAAATAGCCACATCCAGTTGGCTTTTTGTGGAATAACATGTTCAGAGACATAACCACCACCCACTTTCAGTAGAAAGAGCAAAACCACTAACATGTATAATGAATAGCAGCTCTTGGTCTAGGAAACTCACTAAGTCCTGGAATTCAGGAACCACAGAGGAACCCCTGAAGCCTTTCAGGCAATCTGGATTGACACCGGACATCTGTGACTCTATCAAAGCTTTGTACAGAATTCAAGGCATGGACATAAAAGTGCTTTAAGTTATAAGACATTAGAAGCATAAGACATGGGATTTCATGAATATTATTTAGCCATACAGACATTTTAAGATAATCAATGTTAGTCCTAGCTGCAAATATGTTCCCTATTTTTTTTTAGCATTCCACAAAATTCTCATTCTTTTAATTATCTCCCTTTGCTGCTAGGATCTCTTTAAGGCTTTCATCTGGTTCACACTAGGCTGGGAAGAAAAGATATAGGAAGTTCTTGGCCTGACCCTGGCCTTTTCTCCTTTATCCTTTGCTATTTCCTGTCTCCTGTTTCTCTACAGAAGTAAATCATGTTGACATATCCTCGAAGAGTAGGGGCCGTACTATTGAAGAAATATAGAAACAAGGGACAGCTTGCACATAAAGAGGAATATGACCCACTTTATATTTCTGTATTTATTATGTTGTTAAACAAAGAATGCTTTATTAATACAAATACACACAAACTCTAAAGCACTAAGAAATTTAAATATCTATGTCATAGCAAACAACTGGCAATTCAACATCCAGGGTCAACAGAATGCTAGAAGGAGATTGCAACAGATTGCATTCCCATGGTGGAGAGGGCATCTTCACAGGTGAAGGGGGGCCCAGCTGAAACAGCTTTTCAAGCTCTCCCTCCTCATCAAGGATCATGAGAGGCACTCCACTCAAGGGGAGGTGTGCAATCTGGCGCTCTTCAGGCAGGTCAAAACTCTCAAAATCTAGAGGATTGAAGGGAAAGAATTTTTCTATTTCTGGATACGCGTCATTTGAGGCAGGAATAGCTTTTTTTTTTAACAGTCTTCTCGGTCATCTTTCTGACAGAAAAGCTTGGCTGTTTTTGTTTGCTGGGTCCGTTGGTCTTCACTGACTTTTCTGTAGCTCTCTTGACAGTTCCCAAAGCCTTTCTGGAAGCTTTAGGTAAGGCTGATGGAGCAGTGAACGTTTTGCCAAAACGTGGTGTTAAACTTGAGATATCCCATCTAAGGCTTTGATTGAAGGTCCAGACCCCAGCTTCAGTCCATCCTTAGCAGCCACACGGGTGCCTGGTTCTCCATTTTCCTTATCAACACAGATCAGAGTAGCCATCCTGGATTATTGCTACTCTCAACAGCCACATTCATCTAAGACCGTGGTCCCACTTTATATTTAGATAGAATGTTAACTATAGTGGAAATTGGTGTAATATCTAATTTTTGTGCCTAGCACATCATCTAGGAGTCAGCACAAACTCATACAAAGAGCACAGGCCTGAGGTCAGACAAACCTGGGTAGGAATCTCGGGAGTACCACTTTCTGTTAACTGTAAGATTTGGGCAAGTTAGCTAACATCCAAGCCCTATTTCCACATCCATAAAATGGAGGTAAAACCCAACGCTTATACATTGTGAAATGATCAAAAACCACTTAGGTAAAGTGCAGAACAACCAATAAATAAATAGTTTCTGCCTTTACTGCATTTTCTAATTTATAATGTACTTTTACATACATGATTTCACTTCTTACTAACCTTTAATAAATGCAAGTCTTCCATTTTTTACTAAAGCAGCACCCCCAAAGTTTCTCTAAACTGCAAAATGCCCAAATGTTTCATCCTGATTTATCCCTTTTGCCAACTCTCATCTACTGGTGGCAGACAATCCAGCACGCAGTGGTGGGAAGAGCCGAGAGGCCCTGTCTGAACAATGTGACTACTAATGGTGACTGCTTGGGCAGGAATACTGGACTATGGCAATGACTATGTACCTTGGCCAACCCAACCCCAATCTAGTCCAGGCTATTGATTCACAGCAGCAAAGGGTCACTTCTGTTTCTAAGGCCTGGAGATAAGTTGAAGGCAGTTTTGCAGTGAGCCATTTCAATTCAATGATAAATATTCTTGCTGTCTAATTTATTCTATGAATCTTTGACCCACGGCCATGTGTGTGTATGTATTTGAGCCCATATGCAAAAATATACAGTTGAGTCTTGAACAATACAGGATTGAGTTGCATGGATCCGCTTGTTCTCAGATTTTCTTCTGCGGCTGCCACCTCTGAGACTGCAAGACCATCCCCTCCTCTTCCTCCTCCTCCTCAGCCTACTCAGTGTGAAGACAATGAGGGTAAAGACCTTTATGATGATCTATTTCTACTTAATGAATAATGAAATATGTTCTCTTCCTTATGATTTTTCTTAATAACATTTTCTTTTGTCCAGCTTACTTTATTGTGAGAATACCGGATATAGTGCATATAACATACAAAACATGTGTTAGTCAACGGTGTTATTGGTGAGGTCAACAGAAGACTGTTGGTTAAGCTTTTTGGGAGTCAAAGGTTACAGGTGGATTTTGGACTGTGCAGGTGATTGGCACCCCTAACCCTCACATTGTTCAAGGGTCAGCTGCACCTATTTATTTGCATAAGGCCACCTCAAAAAGAAAGGGCCATTCAAAGGTATCATTAGAAGTCTTGCTCTTAACCTGAGACAGCTAGCTAGAAAGTGACAGAGTCATGACTTGCACCTGATATATCAAATGATTGATGTAACCTCTATATGGAGCTTGTAAACTCAAGTGCCACCCAGAGTCAGTCAGGGAATGTAAATATATGATGTACCAGTAGAAGGTAATGGGGAACAGGGAGACTGGTGGGGTAGAGTGTGTGTGCCAATCAGCAGGCATTCCAATTGAATTGTTTTTCTTCAAACACTACGGTAGGCAACTTTAAAAAAAAAAAAATTGCAGGCCACCTGTCTGCAATACTGTCTCATTATATCATTAGAAGGAATTATTGTTAAGCAACTTCTTTCAACTGTTCTGACACATTCATTTTTTATTAATAGTCTTCTAATTGTTCTTTGAATTGGGGCAGAAATAATTAAAGTAAAAGATGTTGTATATGTGTCCTAAAGAAGGGACAAATAAAGACCAGTGAGGTCTAGAGGTGTGAAAGCACATCTAATCCAGGAACACTTTCTCAAGGAGGTGGCATCTGAGCTAGGAAGAAGTAAGAGGAAATCTCCCCAGGCAAAATAAACGACGACAAGCAAAACAGAGGAAAGCATGGCTACGAGGTAAAATTAACTGTCCCATTTTGCTGGAAAATAGAGTACAGCATCTTGGAACTAGAAAAAAAAAGCATGAAGAATCATCTGAGACCAGATATGGTCAAGGTTCTTGACTGCCAAGCTAAGGAATCTGGTGTTTATTGGTTAGAGATGAAAATGGCCTGCTCAGAGAATGGGTTTTCTAGATGAATCTGCTTTGTTGATCTTACAGACTCTTTCTTAACATGAAGCATACTTTTTTCCTAGACAACTTCAAATCTGAAAAATCTGTTACTATTCTTAGCATATGTTTTTGAAAGTAAACTTGGTCACCATAAATGTATATGAGAAAGGGGGCATAAAAACTGGCAGCAAATCCAGTAACTGTAGCCATCTGTGTTTCTGTTGTTCTAAGTGGAGATCAGCAAAACTAGCATTTTAAAAAACACATAAGTATAGTTGAAGTAATATTTTCCGGTGAAGCTTTCCACAAGTGGCTGCTGATAATTTTATCTGGTATTTTAAAATAAAATACACTACCTACAGGACACCATGAAAAACTATCATCTGTTGCATTATAAATGGAAGAATAAAAGGAAGGAAAGACAGAAGGGAGGGAGGAAAATGATATGTAGTTTGTCAGGAAATGTACATCAAATGTCAGAATCAAGCTTTTAAAAAGTAATAATGAACAATAAGAAAAACATCAAACAATCTGTTCTGAACTTTTATGAAAAAGTGGCGTAGGATAAAAATGGAGTTTGGAGTCAGAAAGACTGTTTTGAAATCTCAACTCTCTTCTCTTTCTATATTATTTATTCTTTATTATTATTATTATTTTAAGATACAGGACCTTGCTCTGTTGCTGAGGCTGGAGTGCAGTGGTATGAACACAGCTCACTGTAGCCTTGAACTCTTAGGCTCAGGCAATCCTCCTGCTTCAGCCTCCTGAGTACATAGGACTACAGGCACGCACCCCCAAGCCCAGGTAATCTTTCTATGCTTTGTAGAGAGGGGTCCTGCTGTGTTGCTCAGACTGGTCTTGAACTCCTGGGCTCAAGAGATCCTCCTGCCTTGGCTTCCCAAAGTGTTAGGATTACAGACATGAGCCACCGTGCCCAGCAATACATATTCCTGTCAACAGATAAATTCCTTGTCTCTAAAATGTAGTGTTATTTATTACTTCAATGATTGTGAAGAATGAAAACATGTGTAATATCAGGTATCATACATTTGTCTCTTTCCTTCTTTTGGAAAGGAAGGGATATGCCTGCCACATTGTGTAACTGTGGCCATGAGTATTATACAAACTCATCAGGGGCTTATGTTCTCCCATCTCACGCAGGGAGTCTAAATGTTTATGTGGTCACCTTGATCCTTCATGTAAGGGGAGGGGAGTCATGGTGCAGATAATCCCAAAGACCGGATAAAAGTAATCCTTTAAGTTTCAACGTGGCATGCATCAGTGCTTCTTTGGGGGAATTCATTTCTACACTCCCCTCTTTTTTTTTTTTTTTTTTTTTTTTGAGACAGAGTCTTGCTCTGTTGCCCAGGCTGGAGTGCAGTGGTGTGATCTCTGCTCATTGCATCCTCCACCTCCTGGGTTCAAGTGATTCTCCTGCCTCAGCCTCCCAAGTAACTGGGACTACAGGTGTGCTCCATCATATCTGGCTAATTTTTAGTAGAGATGGGGTTTCACTATGTTGACCAGGCTGGTCTTGAACTCCTGACCTCAAGTGATCTGCCCATCTCAGTCTCCCAAGGTGCTGGGATTACAGGTATGAGCCACTGTGCCCGGCTACATTCCACTTTTCTTAAGTTAATACTGACACTAGTTGGCGTCCCTGAGCATATCACATGAGGTCAAGGGGAAAAGACAAAGAATGGAAGCACAGGGAAAGTCAATGGGTCATTTTAAATGTATTAAAGCACAGTGAGGATAGTCTGCTGGAAGTTTATTCACTTCACATTCAATATGTATTGAGCACCTACTTGGGGCCAGGTACTGTGTAGTCTGTGGTGATACATCTGTGAGCAAAACAAACCAAAACCCCTGCCCTCAGGAAACTTACATCTTAGTGAAGAGAGAGTCAGACAACGAATGAAACACATTTTTAAATAGAATAGTGTATTAGAAGTTCATTAAGCCGGGTGCAGTGGCTCACGCCTATAGTCTCAACACTTTGGGAGGCTGAGGTGGGTGATCGCTTGAAGTCCAGAAGTTGTGAGACCAACCTGGGCAACATAGGGAGACCCCCATCTCTACAAAAAATACAAAAATTAGCCAGTTGTCATTCCAGCTACTCAGAAGGCTGAGGTGGGAAGATGGCTTGAACCTGGGAGGCAGAGGTTGCAGTAAGCCTAGATCACGCCACTGCACTCCAGCCTGAGTGACAGAGACGTTGTTTCAAAAAAAAGAAGTTTATTTAAAACAGATTATATGTATTTTGGGGGAAGATATTTATTTTTTATTTTTTAAATAGAGACAAGGTCTCACTATGTTGCCCAGGCTGGTCTCAAACTCCTGGACTCAAGCAATCCTCCCACCTCAGCCTCCCAAAGTGCTGGGATTACAGGCATGAGACACCACGGCCAGCCCAGACGACATGTATTATAATCTATATACATAATAGAAAAATGAAAAGTGTAAACTTTGAGTTAAAGCTCTCTTAAACACTGCTTATTCTTAGACCACAGGTGCTGATAACAAAAGGCAGAAATTTTTGTAAAAAAGAGTGATGGTGGAAACTGCACATCGTAATGCCCTGTAATTTATATACCATTGACCCTCTTCATCCATGGGTTCTGCATCTGTGGATTCAACCAACCGTGGATTGTAAATATTTGGAAAAAATAAAGGATGGTTGTGTCTGTACTGAACACACACAGACATTTTTTCTTGTAACTATTCCCTGAACAAAACAGTATAACACTATATATGTAGCATTTACATTGTATTGAGTAGTGTAAGTAATCTAGAGATGATTTAAAGTATATGGGAGGGAGGGGGGCGGAGCAAGATGGCCGAATAGGAACAGCTCCAGTCTCCAACTCCCAGCGCGAGCGACACAGAAGACCAGTGATTTCTGCATTTTCAACTGA